TTTGAATAAGCCCACTACAGTTATTTAACTGATTCAAGATTTCCTACATCATCTTCCTGGCCTTTAAATTTTCTTTTCCCTCCCTTATTTCATCTACCTTCTCCTTTGAAAAGATACTTGTAAGCCAAGTCTTCAAAAAGAACAAGAGAAAGAAAAAAAAAAAAAAACCAAGAACCTAGATAAGTTACCAGAATGTCCCACACTAATAAAAACCAGTCCTATCCAGACAAAAATATGTAAACACCCAACTTACTGTGTTGGCAGAATTTGTTAGAAATTACAGGAACCCCAGTAATACTATAATAATAAATAAAAGTATTCATCTGTCATCTATATTAAAAACTATACATGATATAGAATTCCCTTTTTCATCTGGGCATCTTATCCTCTCTCTTCTCCAAGGTAGATCTTCATTTACTTCATATTCTCTTCCCAAGTGCAGTGTGAAATGCAGACACAGATATACATAGGATGCACTGAAGAGAGTCATGGGTCCCGTGCTGCATGAAGTGCATACACTTGAGGTGATTAACAGGAGTGAAGGGCTGCACACTGGGATATGAAATGGAACTGCTGTTAAAGAGCACTCAAATGTACTTGGGATTGTTTGAAATCTTCTGGTAGTAAACCTCTCAGAACTACTGTGCTTCTCATAAATTTACAGATATTAGTCATAATAGTCTGGCAATGAATAGAACAGATCCATGATTCAAAGACAAAAATCCATGAAGGGAAGAGGATTTTCTAAAGTGTGACCCCTGGAATGGTTTCCTCAAGGAAAGGAGTTCACTCTCCAGAGCGACCTCACATCTGACCCCCCCACACCCTTCCCACAGCTCCTCCCCAACATCCACCAAAGAAATGGGAACCAGGAAACTGGTCTGGTCTCCTTCAGACAGCTGTGAAAGTTCATTTTCCGTTTTGCAAACTAGTTTTGTTCTTGTCCGTTGCAATGCTTTGCCAAGTGGTGGATGGGAATTTCTAAATCAAAACCCACTAACCTCAAACCACAATCAGCTCCTGTCAAACTTCAGAAACTACTCCCATAGAGTACATCCTAGAACCTATGGTAATAATACTCTGACTTTGCAACACATTGCCAGGTTTGTCACGCTTCTAAAACTCACAGCACATTTTTTACTTATAATCTATTTCAAATAACAGTGATTAAGATGTAAATATACAATGTTTGTTTTTAATGGCCCCATTTACTTTATCAATGTAAGATAGTAAGTTTGCTAAAGCTTACATCAACAATCCATGTCACTCAGGTACAGATTAGGTCCCTGCAAAACCAGTTGTTTATATTTTTAATCCAATTATGTTCAAAGCTTTCAAAATTGATATAGTTCTTTATACTTTCTACTTGTGCTCTGTGTGTGTGTGTGTGTGTGTGTGTGATGCTCTCTAGTTGAAATCCCTTATTGCATTGAAAAAAACCATCCGAAATGTTTTAGGATTTATGAAGTCAAAAGCATCTCTGACAACTTGTAAGGGTTGTTTCACTACTTTCATTGCTTCTACATGAACTAATAACCCAAGGGAAGTTCCAACTTTCACTAGAATTTAAAGCTGGAGGCCTGAACCCCCTAGGCCCCAACATCTAAAAGAGTTGCTAGGAGTCTTGACAGGCGATTAGGACCAGGACAGGGCAGGGAAGGGATAACAAAGTCCATCGTGAGGATGGTGAGAAAACAAACTGTTACCTCAAGAACTAGTGGGGGAGGGGATCTTGGGGAGTGGAAGGAAGACAGGTAAAGGGAAATTTCTGGCAAAAATGACAGTGGTGTAGAACTGAGAAGGAAGCCAATTGTGCAGAGAAGGCTGAATACCCTTCAATATTTAAGTGAGGATGCTCCTTTGGGTAACTGCTCATTGTTTTCTCTGCATTTACACTGAGGCTTTTAGACACAGCCTGTGCCTTTGACAGGCCCACTCTGTGGGCCAGTGCAGCTCATTTTATCCAGTGGAAGCCAGGCCTTCTGTCACTGCCTGCTCCACATAGGATTCAAGAGTCCTGGCCTTGATAGATCATGTTGCTAGCTCCCATATTACTGGGTACCACATGGAAGTTTCTAAGTACACTCCTCTGGGCCCCCTGAATGGCTCAGTCTCCCTTGTACTGACATCTAATTGCTTCCCTGGCCCCATGAAAGCCTCAAAAGTATTAGTATCATATCTCTAGCAAACCCTGACCATCTGTCTGGATGAAAGGGGGACACCTGATGCAGGGGTGGGTGCCCCACTTGACCTCACCCCCAAGATCATACGTGTTCTTCTAATCATCTCTTTTAAAGAAAAAAAAAGATTTATTTATTTATGCATACAGGAGCTGGGGTTGAGGCCAAAGATGTGTGGGGTGAGAGGATTCACCAGAGACAGAGGAGACAGAGTGGGGAACAGAACAGGCAGATTGACTGAAATACACTGTTGAGGGCAGCAGAGGGCGAGTCAGGAGAGGTCTGCTGCGCCATGTGGGTCACCCCCCTGGCCAAGGATCGAACTTGTGCTGCAGTGGCTGCGGATAGCTTCATAGTGCTGCATATTAACCCCTTGTGCCACCAGGGAAGCCCCTTCTAATCATCTCTTAATAGATTTCCAAGCCGCCTCAGGTGAAATGATTTGTCTGAACTTTAGATTATAAAACAGTTTGAAAAACTTGATCGGGAAGCAAGTAGAAAGAGAGTTTTTTTCTTTAGGACAAAAACAGAAACAAAAAATCTTGTGCATATTTGTAGTCTCAGGATCAGAAGCTGGTTGGAAGGAAGAATTGGGGGAGAACCAGCAGCATGTAAGTGTAGGAAGTGCAAAGGACTTCCCTCCCTTAACTCACACGTTTTGACACGACAGTGTCCACTTCCCCACCCTATGATGAAAAAATTTGGATGATAATCACAAGGAATGGCGGACAGTTTTGCAAAGTAACGTGATCTCATTGATAATGGAGCTTTATTCCTAGCTGAGACTAAGGCTTCAATCTCTGAATCTTTTAGGTGTTCATTTGTGACCAGTCCTTTCCTGTTCTCTCAGCTTTCCCTGTCATTATTCTCCCACATAAACACTTAACTAGAGATATGCTGGTGGATTCATTGGTTGACACATCTGCCTTGTGGTTTCCCAGTCACACAACTGTGCACACAAAACATCCCCTTCCCAGTTCTCTGCCAGTCAACACCCATCATGCAGGACTGAGTGGAATCCCATAGTCTTCATGAAGTCTGAGCTGACTGCACAACTGAAAAAGAGCCCTCTCTTCTCTGAAATCCTTCAGTGTTTCTAGCCGAGCCATGAGGCTGTGCTGCCTGTGACAGTGCTTTCTTAGCATGACCTGTTTTATTAATATGGTGTTTGCATACTTTCCCAGCTAGCCTGAAGGATTCTGATGAGAGAGACCATTTCTTCTCGCACTTCTTGCCATCCCCCAAATAGCCCCGACATAGTAGGTATTTCATACATCCCTGTCTCTGCTCCTTCCCCAAGTATCATCCCACTGTCACCCTAATTGACCTGCACTTCATTTCTGACTCTTTGCACGATACAGATTTTTTTATTGCATTCACTCTGTGTCTTTGGAAAACCTCCTTCCCCCAGGTTTGGTTTCAGAAATGACTTTATACGCTTGATAATTGTTCCACTAATAAATGGAGTATCCACTGTAGGCACTAGACCAAACACTTACATTAAAGATTATAGAAGACATGGAAAATATGGTACAAAGAACAAGAATTCAGATATATAAGCAAAAAAAAAGAATTTTAAAAGTGCATATGTATGTATGTATGTATATACGTATTTACATATATATGTAAAAACATTAAAGGTCATTAAAATGTTTTGGAATAGGTGGTTTGGACCCACGTTTTGAAGAAAAAGGGATTAGAGGGTCTCATGCTTGTTTGTGCTCACCAACACTTCCTCACTATCTACTGTAATAGTGCCTGGTGCACTCTAAACATGGATTTAATATTGGCTGAATAAATGAATAGCCAAATGCTGGAAGAAGTAGTAATTTCCATGTGGAGAGACACGATTATACAAAAAATGCAAGCATGTTGTGCTTGGAAAGCAGCAAATTTATTGTCCTGGGTGGAGCCAAGAAATTACATGCAAAATGATGGAGACAAGGAGAATGATGAATGATGCTGAAGTCTTGCCAGGAATTTTGATTTTATCAGACAGTAACAAAATCTTTATTATCCATTCATTCATTCCATAAATGCTTATTAAGCATACACCATGTGCCACAGCACTGTGCTAAGGACCTGAGGATTCGATAGTGAACAAAACACAGTCTCTGTCTTCCAAGATTGTGCAGCCTTTTCATTACAAACTAGTCAGTGGTGGCACATACTTGTTGCTCTGGTTATTGTTATTCTAATGGTATTTAGCAAAGAAGAGAAGCTTCCAGTGGAGAGCAGAAGCCTTAGTTAAAATGAGCTCAAATGTGAAGTATGTCATAATAAAGATGATTTGAAAGCAGCAAGTGGGATTTAAAACTTAAGGAAGAACTTCTTGTCTGAAAGATTGCCAGGGATTCCAGAATGTGGTGGACTGATTAGCTGTGGAATCAACCTATGTTTATTTATGGAGCCTTGCATGAGCCCAGGTCTGTCAGATACCTTGGCTTTGGGTCTGAATGATGAGCTAAGAAGATAAATTCTCAGGTTGGGGACATGGAGGAGAAGGTGGGGGATTAACTTGCTCATTGACATATCCTTAGAACCCTGGCTAAAACAGATTTTACTAGAAACCAAAAACAAAAATTAAAATTTCTATTTAGAGACAAATCTCTGAGGGTTAGATGACAGTAAATTAATTTTAGAGCAGACATGGAAATGAATGAGACTGTGGGGCAGAACTTCCAACCACGATGTTACGTGAGAAGACATCCATCGGTTTATTTCTGAAATCAAAGATTTTAAAATCACTGCCTGTTACTAGAAGATCTTGGCTGCATTTATCTCACTTTTTTATCCTTTTCTCCCATTTTTTTCCCCCAGGATGACGGCCTCCCAGAAAATGAACATCAACTGTCAGTAGCTGGAAAGATAAAGAAACATTTCAACACAGGCCCCAAACCGAATAGCACAGCTGCTGGAGTTTCTGTCATAGCAGTAAGCATCTGAAATATCCACCTATAACTTTTTAAAAGCAATCCACCTAAGAGACAGGCAATCCTCAGGAGATTCCACCCAGAGATAGCAGAATGGGTCATTTCTTTAGACAGCTCGGCCATTTAACGCACCAAGGGAGGTTTGGAGCTTATGTGTGTGAGTGTTTTCGTTGATCATTTCCCTGGGAGTCACATCATTATCCAACACCTCCAGGGTGTCTTGCCGTATATATTAATTTCATGATTTATTTTTAAAACAGAAAACCTCCCCCACACTGGACTCTGTGCCAATGCAAACTTTTGGACTCTGAGAAAAAGAGTTTATAGTGTCCTTTTGCCAGGAGCTGGGAGGGAAGGGAAGCTGAGAGACAGACATGGCAGAGAGAGACTGGAACACTATAGATCTTTGCAGGAGACCTAAACGAAAGCCAAAGCATAGCAGAAAGCTTACCCAGTAAGATTTCAGTGAAATTGAATTGCTGTGAACACCCAAAGAAAATCACCATGTCGTGCTCCTTAGAAATTTCTGTTTTTAAAGTTGAAAGTCTTTCAACATTTACCATTTTATTGATGCGGCTGCACAAGCATTTTCATTTTCTGCTCTATACATGCAGGCACACACTACATGCAATTTGATAGCAGCTCTAGGCAAAGATTAAATTGGGCAGAGAAATAATGAAACCTCAGACTTCCTGGTGTCATATTCTAGAGTAAATATATTCAAGTCCCAGATTACTTGAGTGTTTAATAATTTCCTCTTTTTTCAGAGTATGTAAATTTTAACAGCATATTCAATGTGAAATCACTTGAGCTGTTTCTTTTCTAAACAAAGAACTTTGACACAATGGTGTCGAATTGTACAAAGTATTCATGCTACTAAACAGTACCTCATACTTATGAGCAATACTGGATGTTTTACTATCTCTATGGGTATCTTTATTTGCTTTACATTTATCTTTTTTGGGTATGCTAGAGCTCCAATAAAAGCTAAATATAAATGACATTTCCTGTACAACCATTCCCAGATCTGGGTCACTAAATATTTGTTATGAGCTTTCAGAATTTGCAGGTGGCACCAAGGCATGTGCTCTTTCTCAAACTGTTATTATTGCACCTTTTTTGATTGAACACTTTCAGCAGTGAGTTCTTTGAGTGTAAGTAATTAGCTCATGAGTACGCTGGCAGTGTACATAGAGGCATATTCTTTCAGATGCTCCTCGGTGCTGCTGAGGATTTAAATTTGCAAGTTGTTCTGTCCTCTCTCTTGAGTACTTTCTAAGAAAACCCAACGTAAATTATATTGTCCTTCATGTCTTCCATAGATTGTCAGTGTTCTTTGTTATCAGCTAATATTCAGTCAGTAATTTTTTAACATAACAATTTCATGGTGATTCTCAACTAAACCAGACATGCTATACTCTCACTTTTCATTGTTCATTCAAGATATAAGTCTATTCCAAAATGTCTACCTCCACAATTTTCTTTGGAATCGACTGCCAGCACGCTTGTCCATGAAAGGGCTGCTTTCTGCTCCTGCTGACAGCTTACAGCTGCTAGAAGGGGTGCTTTTCCACTTCTGTCATTTGTTTTTGCTTTTGTTTTCCCTGGTCTTTTATTTTGATTAGTCTTTGGTTAAGTTTGCCATAGTTGCTCGATAATGGTTTGTTCACAGTATTCTGGGAGTCTTATGACTAAAGGCAGAACTTCAGCACAATTTTCCAATGAGCAGACAATATAGATTCGAGGGGAAAACAACTGTAATCCAACTTGATAAATTCTGAAGCCTAATCCATATAGTTAATTAAAATTTCTAGGTAGACCTCCAACACCTCCAGTTAGAATCTCAAGATCAAAGATTCATTCTTTTTTCTGTTTGTTTAAATATCTTGATGGACCATTTGAAGGCAGTTGAATATCAGTTTCTCAGTCCATCACTGACATGTTTCCATGGAAACTCTACAAACTGGTACTATACTTATAAGTTATAAAATGGGTTGTAGAATGCTGTAATCTTTATCCACTACGAAGCTTTAAAATGTTCTGTCAGATTGCTGTGACTCAAAATAATTGGCTATTTGAGAAATATCTGGAAAAATGCCTTGGCAACTCTAAGGAACAATTCACATGTTAACTACTATTCTGAATACTTTAAGCATGAAGGAAAATATTGCTATAAAAATCAGGAGTTGTTTCAGCAAAACTGGCCTTCCGTATTGTGTGCACTTGCATCTTCTCCAGAACATTTTTCCTCATAAATGCCCACACTCTTCTTAAGACTTTGTAGGAGGTGACCAGTAGAGGCTGGAGCTGGGATTAGAAACCAGCCAGGTTGGCCATCTTTGCTATGAAATTTCAGAACAGCACCAGATAAGTCAGTGTATATGCCATAACATTGTTCCCATTCCTAAAGTACTAAGTGTAAATCTCGGGGGACTATCACAAGAAAAAGGCGGCCCGGCATTAAATAATATTTTATCTCAAATTGAAAAATGACTGCAAAGAATGATATTCTGTTGTTAAGTGGTTGGTGAAGGCACATGCTTCATAAGATGTATTCTGTAAAGGCCATTTGACAATTTAATGATGCAACAGAATTATTAATTCACCCACATGACCACATTGCTGTAATTAATCTAATACTGTAATGACTTGTATTTGATAAAGAAAAAACTGATTTCAGCATAAATTTAATTCAGACAGATTTTCCCATAGACAAGTATGCACTCAAAGAGCCTATAAAATAATGTAGATTATTTTAGATACCTCTATCAGAGGATTGATTTTTTTGTAAGTTATATATGCCTGTGAATTTTTTTTTTAAAAAAACACTGTTTATAATGAAATATCAATCAGATAATTTTTTTCCAGAATATCAGCAATTAAATCATTGGTCTTTACTTACTGGAGATCAAAGATGCAAGGAATTCATGACACCTTTTCTTTCTTAGAGTGACAAGATAAAAGAGCATTGTCACAACAGACAGACAAGTCACAGTCACAGGTGTAATTTATGACATGAGCATGGCTAAACATGCACTCATGGTTCTGAATCTTAGTGGGGTTTTTTTGTTTGTGTTGTCATTTTTTCTTCTCTGTTTCCCGCCTTTTACGTTATTAAGACCAAAGAAAGGGTAAATGGTAACTTTATATGAATGTTTTAAGAGTTACCAGCTGGAGGCTCACAGGGGCCCTTTGGCTCCGCTAAAAGGAGGAAAGGTGTCCCGACATCAAGATCAGGCCATGTGATTAGGAAACCCATTGCTGTCCTTACAGCTTCAACATTCTACCTCTCAGAAAGAGTCCATTGTCCCTCTGCTACCTTTCCCAGTAGTTGGAGAATTATGAAAACAAAACAGAACAGAACAGAGAAAGGGAAACAAAAGGTTATTAAAATGCAATTTACAGACATAAAATGGAATTAGAGATGACATTTTAACGGTGGACTTCTTGAGAGCTGAGGGAGGGGAGGGAGGCATTATTAGATTTGCTCAGTTTGATGAAGAACCGATGACTAAGATGTCAGTTCCAATTTATTTTTCCTCATTTAATGCTGTTTATTATTTTAACCAGTAATTTTCCTAATGCTTTAAAGTCCTTATTTTGCATTTTGTTCATGCAAATAGAACATTTCAGTCTAATTGAACAAATCCATACTAATCAGTGTGCAAATAATTGTGATACTGGGAAGCTTAGTTCTAAAGTCCTTGGCGCTAGGGCATCCCGAATGCCATGTCATGGGACCCTTCGCCTGTAGGTGGCAGTAGAGAACTAATTTACTTAGTAACCATTTTCATGGACTGAAACAGATGCCTAGGTCTTCCTAACAACAAATGTACTTTGATGTTTTTTTCCTAAATAAAATGAAATGTACGGGTTTTTTTAAAGATTAAAATCTCACATTGCTGTTCCATGAACAGTGGAATAGCCCAGTTTATAATCTGAATACCAAATCCTCTGAGTGGTTTTTAGTTAAGATGCCGGGTGCCCCAGTATGTTTTTGAAATGCCTTTGTGAATTTAGAAGTGGAAACTGTCATTAGCATCGCACCAGCACCACACTTGAAAGCACTCGTGAACCTCTCTGTAAAGAAAAGTGTGCAGGTTGCATCCTGTCATGGGCAGAACAGGGGAGTGGGCACACAGCATGATTGTTGTTTTTCAAATTTGAGGGTTGACTCTTTTATTCCGAAGTAGCTAAAGTCTTAGGTATTATAAGAGTATGAATAACTTTGAGAACTTATCTTCTATTTACTGTACCTTTTGTTACTCGTAAGCATTAATTGTACATATGCATTTTTAATATAGAGTGAAAACTTCATTTTATTTTCTGTATTTTCATAGAGAACATTTACTGTTTTGTGCTAAATATTTTTAGTTCAGAAATGTAATTAAGATTCACCTTTAAGAGTAGCTCTGCTTTTGAAGATGAATTCTTAAGGAAAGAAATCCAAATTGCTATGATTTACAGGGGTTCAAAACCTGATCCTTTTCATCTTTGATTTCATATTTATAAAGTCCTCAAATTTAAGTCTGATGGGGTAATATTTTGGAGGGAGATCCAATCTGCTTTCTCTTTGGTGGCAAAAGCTGATTTCAGTGCTTTAATTAAATGTCAACTATTTTCCATTCTCTAGCCAATGAAGAGGTGTTTCTATCTTTTGAAATTGAGAGGACATTATTAAATATGCATTCAAAAACTTGTTTGACAAATTAGATCTGTTCTAACAAATTGGCCTCTGAGATTCATGAGGAATCGGTGTCTTTTCTTGCTTTTTTATTTTCAATGTGCAGATTTAGGATATTAGCTAGTCACCCTGCAGAGAGGCATCGTAATTCTATATACTTAGATAGTCAATGAAGAACAGCTTGGTCTGGAGTCTTAATTCTTTAGCACAATGTCGATCCACTGAGTTGCCCCCATTTCTCTCTGCTCAGCTGGACCACGGGTTTACCATCAAGAGATCAGGGTCTTTGGACTACTACCAACAACCAGGAATGTATT